ATGAGTGAGGAAGTTAATACCCAACACATGTATAGTAAGGGAAAAATTAACGAAACACTCCCTCAATTGTTAAAAGAAGATGTGAAGGGAGGTAAACGTACAATTAAAAAAAGTGAGCAGCGATTATGTTAAATCGGCAAAAATGTGTGGTCAAAATCAAAAGCATAAAAAAATGTGAAAGAATATGACGTGTCAATTTTCTTAAGTCCGCAGAAATCCGTGGCAAAATTCGAAATTTCAAAACATTATTGTTCCCTAACCCTTTTAGGAATTAATATATATATATATATATATATATATATATATATATATATATATATATATATATATATATATATATATATATATATATAGTATTTTATTTATGTTGTCAAATAAACGTTGAAAGAAAATACAAATTTACTCTTTTGACCCTTTGATAGAATTCAAAGCAAAGAGCAAAGGTTTTGAAATGTGAAAAAGGTTTGTCTTTTGAAAAGAAAAAGAGGATGCATTACATGTAAAAAGTCAATTCGTCACTTTTAACAACGGTTTGCTGCTGTGGTTTGAATTTCTTTTTTTTAACGTTTATTTTTCTTAAAATTACAAAAATTATCCCTCGACTATATGCTCCTATCGTTAAAAGAATTTACCTATGTAAACATTATTTAAGTATTACTATTAAATTAGTAATTGGATCAGTTGCACCTGCTTCATCACTCCTAATACGCCGCAAGTAGGGCTGATATCACCTCATTTTATGGAACATAACGGTAATTTGTAAATTATCCATATATGTTCCATATATCTATTTTGACTGAAAACTAATCATAAAGAACGAAATATTGCGATTAAAAAAAAGATTCATAAGCTTATTTCCGATGCAGCCATTATATTTTAGTATTAACTTGTCAGAAATATTTATGTTAACAGTTCTAAAAAAAAATTTGGTAAAAAATATATTACTTCCAAAATATATTATACACCACCATTCTACTTAAAAATGGTTTAGACACTATGAGTGTTTCGTTATTTTTTCTTTACTCAGACTCTTATCTTCAATTATTCATGTTGCATGGTACATCATGTAACTCTTAACCGTTTGTTTTCTCGGTTATCATGCCCCACATGCACCATTCGGGATCTTATTCGGGTTGGAACCAGACAGAACCCGAATAAATTGAAAACCGAATAAGGCTAATTGGAGGAATAAAAAACCGGACCAGTTAAACCAATATGGGTCCACTTCGGTTCAATTATTAATCGGTATGGTTCGGTTAATACCCGAATAAACCGAATAACAACAGTATGATTAAGGACTGAATAGAACCCAAAAGAAGTAAATAAAGTAAATGTTAGCTTTAAAAATGACAACTTTAATACCTTTTTTTAGGAGCTTGTATCTCATTGAATACATGGCCGTTCCAAACATATTTTGGGCTACAGGGCGAGAGAAAAAAATAAACCCTTAAAATACGTAGATGTCATCAAGTTTTTTATAATAACTCAATATTTGAAAGAAAATTACTTGTGCTATCTTCTAAATATAACAATTTCCATTAAAAATTTGGGTTCTTTTGAAAGATGGACTCTGGATGATCGCCCCTATTGCCCACCATCTGAGACGAGCCTGATTGAATATACAATCAAAAAATACATGTAAATTGTGTAAATAATAATTTAAAACTATGAACTACAAGCTGGAAAAAAAACCAGACAACAAAGTGATTATGACAATTCGAATTTGTCCTAAAATATTGCAAACATGCTGAAATTAAAATAATAATAATAATATATAGCCTATCCGGGTCTGATTCTTTTAGAACCGATTAAGCAGTTATTCTGGTAACTCGGATCAAAATACTCGAAAACCGAATAAACCTAAAATGCATGCCCAAAAACCGAATAACTTATTCGATTCTAATTCGATTCAGTTCCGAGTTTAGTTCAGGTAGTCTCTATAAACACTAATCCCTATGCGTCATTAGGGCATAACCAAGCAAGGTTTCATACCCAATCCCATGATCATTTCCCCCTATTACTTCCCAACAAACCATCACCAAAGGTTATTATAGTGACAACCCTTTCTTCTCGAACCACCACCAATAGATAAAAAAAGAAATGAGCAAAAGGAACCTTTGGTCCTTATAGTTTTAATTTTATGAAATTAAACTTCCTCCGTGTAGTTTTCAATTTGAAAAAATTTGAATGGCTTACACTTTTGGTCCCTATAGTTTATATACAATGTTTTTCATTTTAGGTCTAGGTTTTGATATTCTTTACAAGAAAACTAAATTACAATTTGGGTCCCAACTAGTTTCTATAATAACTTATTATTTGTTTTAATAAATATATCATTTTTTTTTTTAAATTACACAAATAATTTTACAAGTTACATACCAACATTTTATATTAATTTATTCGGTTAAAATATGAGATTATAAGTGATATAGCAGGATTTTTTAATAAGCTCTTTCAAATAATTAAAAAATTGAAGTGCAATATTCTAGTTATAGTTTTTCAAAAATACAATACTTCAAACACAAATACACATAAAACGAAATGTATATTTAAACATTACATCAAGTAGCAAAAATATCTATTTGACATTTTAGCTGAAAGTATATAAACAATAGCATTGGGTAACGAGGTCAAGGGCTGGCTACAAACGGCAGCCGGTACTAGGCCTTCTTGAATTCTGCCGAAATTACGGGATTGCCCTTCATCCGTCCTCTGATGACTGATTGGGTCCACCAGATTTCTATGGATTACAATTTTCTAACCCTCACCTTTTTAAGTGTTCAAAAAACATAAAAAATAAATAACAATTTTTTTTTTGGGTAGTAAGATTTTTGTTATGCGACCAAAAACTTACAGTTATTACATGCACTATATTATACAAATGACAAATCATTATTAATCATAAACCATAAAATCACTAGATATAACTTGTGTGAATAAATGTACAAGAAAATTAGCCATTTTTTAATTACAAAATTGAGTCTTTTAAAAACTAGGTACATACATGGAACTAATAACAATCAAATTCAAAGTGATATTCTAATGTTATAATACTTAGATCAAATTTAAACTATGAAAGAGATAATTAGTTGTTTAATCAAATTCAATGCAGTCTTTTTTAGGGTTATTTGGAAAGTAAAAAGATAAAAAATAAATAATGTACTGTTCAACAATAATAATAAATGTACAACAAGGGTTTTCTTCTCACAGATGAATTATAAGGAAAAGCTTAAATTGGGATGTTTAAATTATTTTTCCCTTTTCAGATTGTAATGTTTAAAGACTTCATGCCTAACCTTGTAAGAGTATCCATAATCATTGACCTCGTTTATATGTTTATTTTGCTTTATCACATCATATTTTAATCAATTTCTTTATAACGGCAATGCCAACATAGACAGAAAAGTATTCCTCCAAAGTATAACCGTTAGATGGGAAACATACATGTGTGTGAAACATAAAAAAAAAAAAAAATTAAATTGTCTAAAATAATAATTGGAGTAATATATGATATTTTGAAAATTTATGAAGTGATGATATTTTAAACTCATATTTAAAAGGGTGATATGAATCATATGTCAGTTGATAAAAATAAAGTTTTAAAATGATTACAAAATGTTTTAGAAGTGTTAAAAATAAATATTTGGGAAAATATATTATTTTAAAAGTTATAAATGATAAATATGATATTTAGAAATTAAGCTATGGTATTTTGATTTTTAACAAGAACATATACAAAATTCACCGTATTCGTTGCACACAGTATAATATATATATATATATATATATATATATATATATATATATATATATATATATATATATATATATATATGGTTTTCTAATATGTACCCTAAAGGCATATATAAGAAGCATTAATTGATGATATATATTACCATAATTAATTATAAAATACATTAATAATAAAAAATATTACCATAATTAAATGTGAAGTCCATTAATAATTTTCATAATAAATATATTTCGAATTTAATTATGGTAATATTTTTCATAATTAATACTTCTTATATGTGCCCTTAGGGTACATATTAGAAAATCCTTTTATATATATATATATATATATATATATATATATATATATATATATATATATATATATATATAATAAAAGAACAATAACATCAAATAAAATGAATATATTACAATACGATTATATAATAAGTAATATCAATTCTAGAGTAAAAAAAAATATAAAATGTTGATGCTCATATATAATTGAATGTGGAAAATAAAATGGTTAATTACACAAAACAAAATATTTAAAAATATTTAATAAATATAAATGATTTGATAATATTTACACAAAAAGTTACTATCTACAATTATAAAAGTCACTTGATTGAATCAATATTTGATCTCTAACATACATCTCATTCGACATGTTCTAAGGTTATTATTATAAACTTTTCCATTTAAACTAATTCCCAATTTTTTTTTTTAAAATTTTATTTATTTATGTAAATACACAAGTTGTTACAGAACTGAAATTAAAAATCTCAGTTAACATTATAACTTTTGATTCATTTAAATAATAAATAAACCTACTTTTCAAGATTATATTCATTCATATCCTTTTGTTAGATATTGTATTACTAGTTACATCAATTTGAGCCTACCAATTGAGGATATACATACGATCATCAACACTCATTATTCATCAATACCTTGATAATAGAATAAATAAAAACCTTCTTAACATACAATTCACATATCATAAATTTTAATATAATATAATTATTTTCTACACAATGATTCAAGTAAATGATAGTCACAACATTCTCGCTACCAACTAAATTTGCATAGAGACAGCAAATACGTTTCTTTCCATTGTTCCCAAACGGCACGTATGAGAGAGTCGATCTTTGTATGTTTATGCTTTGTCTTGCACGTAAGAGAATGATTTGAGGAAATTTGTCTACTAGATAAAAAAACAAAAGTAGGGACTATTTTCATCAAATGTTACAATCTAAAGGGTAAAAATTGAAAATTATTTTCTCTTTGTATTGACATTTCCGTCCCCTCTACGGCTATATCGTAACCTTTTATATTTCTTTATCATTATTTCGATTCAAAACATAGTCAGAGAGACGTTGTTGGCGTTTAGCTTTTACCTTCTTTCCCCTTTTAAATCAAACCCCAACAAACGTTCTTCCCAGAACCCTATGCTTTTTGTAGAAAAACATATTCACTTTCCAAATCTTGAGATATAGTGAAAGCAAAATCAAACTTCGAAGTCTATTTGCATCTTCTGGTTGTTTATATACGCTTGTAAATAATCACCATCGCAAGCACAAAGATTCAGAGCCCAGATTGGTTTCATCTTTGGTTTTTAGTATTTGGGTTTTGAGTTACTCGAGATTTCTAGGGTTTTGATTTAATTCTCAGATGGAAAATTCAAGTGATAAAAGTAGGAGAAACGATGTGTTTGATTCGTTTGACAGTAGTACAAGAAGCTCGAATTCAAGTAATTCGGATAGTTCTTCGAAAGAATGTTGTTCTTCCCCTCCTCCGCTTGGGTGGCCTATTAGAAAAACGCAGTTGATCGGGAAATGTGGTGATATTTCAGAAGATGAAGCGAAATTAAAACGCCATTTGGAAGATGATTCCAAATTGACGAAAATTGATTCCAGATTTGAAGGTTAGCAGCTTTGATTTTGATTTGTTTTATTTAATTCTTCGAGGGTTCATGAGAAACGAAATTTGGGGGATTTGTTTTTCTAGTGTTCAGATATCTCTTGAAATTGATTTATGTTCTGTAGGATCAAAAATTTTGTATGTTTTTTTTTACAATCTATTCAAAATTGACTTCAATGATTTTTTACTATTTGAATTTTTTTTTCTGCAATTATATCTGCTTAGAAACGGAGATGATGAAAGAGAGATTCGCTAAATTGTTGCTTGGAGAAGACATGTCTGGAAGTGGCAAAGGCGTTTGTACAGCTTTAGCCATTTCAAACGCCATTACAAATCTTTGTGGTAACTTTTATCTTTTTTTTTTTCTCGATTTTCTTAATTTTATGAAGAACATGTTCAATTGTTCATGATCATGTGATCAGTGTTGTCCTAATTTGTAAAGTGTTTGTAAATCAGCCGCTGCATTTGGTCAATTATGGAGATTGGAACCCTTGCAATCTGAGAAGAAACAAATGTGGCAACGAGAAATGGATTGTCTTCTTTGTGTAAGCGATCATATCGTTGAATTAATACCTTCATGGCAGACATTTCCAGATGGAAGTAAGCTCGAGGTCATGACTTGCAGACCGAGATCTGACATTTTCATGAATCTCCCTGCTCTAAGAAAACTAGACACCATGCTTCTGGTTAGTGTTCATCATTTGTTTTGGTTTAATGTCAATCATCTCCGATTACAAAAGAAGAAAATGATTCAGAAGAATTTGATGTTTTACAGGAAATATTAGACAGTTTCATTAACACGGAGTTCTGGTACGTTGATCAAGGAATAGTAGCTTCAGATAACGACGTTTCAGGGTCAGGGTCAGGGTCAGGTTCATTCCGGAAACAACCGCAACGCCATCATGAAAAGTGGTGGCTGCCGGTGCCACGTGTCCCTTCCGGAGGCCTTCAAGAAGACACCAGGAAACAGTTGACCCACAAACGTGAATGCGCTAATCAGATTCTCAAAGCAGCCATGTCAATCAACAGTATTGCTTTGTCGGACATGGAAGTTCCTGAATCGTACTTTGAATCCCTCCCGAAGGTATCACTATCATAATCAATTCACCACCATTTTCTCTAATTTTAATAAATCGAAAGCTCATTTGGAAGAACTTCAATCTGGTTTTGTAGAACGGGAGAGCTTGTTTAGGAGACGTTATCTATCGTTATATAACATCAGAGCAATTCTCACCGGAGTGTTTGTTAGATTGTCTCGATCTTTCATCTGAACACGTCGCTCTAGAAATCGCGAACCGCGTGGAGGCGTCGATCTACGTGTGGCGGAAAAGGATCCAATCAAGGCCGTTACCTCATCCAAATCGATCGGCGGCGAAAGCTTCGTGGGACATGGTGAAGGATTTAATGGCGGATGGATGCAAGAGAGATTCATTAGCTGAAAGAGCTGAAAGTCTCTTACTTTGTCTAAAACATCGTTTTCCTGGTCTAACTCAAACCTCATTAGACATCAGCAAGATTCAACACAACAAGGTACTTCAATTTTCAAATTTCAAAATCCTTAATTTCAAATTTCAATCTTCAAAAACCTAAAAATGAATCCGATTATTGACGATTTCTGAGATGAACATTCAGGACGTTGGGAAATCGATCTTGGAGAGCTACTCTAGGGTTCTGGAAAGTCTCGCGTTCAACATCGTCGCACGTATCGACGATCTACTCTACGTCGACGACTTAACCAACCAATCGGATAATTTACCATCGACGGCGGATGTAATTACTCATAAGCGAGTCCCGATTCCGATTATACCGTCGTCAGGGACGCCGTACAAATCAGCTTTTGCGACTCCGAAGTTTTCCCCTGGACCTATTGCAGCCCCGGCGACGACAGACAGAACTCCGTCGTTGAACAGAAACAGCCACAAGCCGCCGCGGCGAGGGTTTGGGGTGAAACGAGCGTTGACGAACTATCTCGCCGGTGAGACGAAGGTGAAAGGTAACGTTCAGTTGCTTGAAGGTCCCGGTTGTCTGAGTACAAGAAATGGAGAATTGCCGCCGGTTAATCGGAGCAGTATCGACGGTCCGTTGAGCCAGAAAGAGAACCGGAATCCGGCGAGGTTACCGAAGTTGGAACGGTGATTAGGTTAGATGTGAGGATTATTTAGCTTCTCATGGTTGAATTTGTATTGTTATTAGAGGTTGTTTTACCTCATATGATATTCTTTTATCCACTTTATTAGTTGTATTGTTGTACAACTTTTATATAATTTTTATTATGGTTTGTGTGTTGTAAAAGTAAAATTAAATCAACTAGTAATTTAGTAAAATATTTGTTTTAAGGTGTCACCTTGTAAGTGTTTTAAGTTCGAAATATTGATAAAAAGTTAAATATATTGGAATTTTCGTTGGCTTATTTACATATTTATCTTTTTTAATTGGCCGGTAAATAAAATGTTAATACAACTTAAACATCATCAGTCGTTGTAGTATAGTGGTAAGTATTCCCGCCTGTCACGCGGGTGACCCGGGTTCGATCCCCGGCAACGGCGATTTTACTATTTTATTTTAATTTTTGTTGATTTTTTAATACGAATTCAAAATTTGAAAGGTTTTTACTATTTTAGCCTTTTAATTTAGGGCACGTGATCACGCGCAGAATGTGACAGAGTATAAACATGTCACGCTTCTGATTTCACGATTTCTCCCCCATGTAATTAACATTTCCAAGGCGCCATTTCTTATTCAAAAGTCAAAACCCATCTTTCTTTCGATTTTATTTCTTCAAAGTACTACAAATATTTTGAAAATATCAATCTCATTATTTTTCTTCAAAGTACATAGTACAAAGGATAGTAGTACTTAATAATTTGATAATAATATCAATTATTTTTCTTCCATAAAGACAAGTTTAAATGTTTAATAATTATGAATGAAGACAAAGCTTTTAGATGACGATCACAGTAGAAACTAGAAAGAAAGTAAATAGAAACCTAACAAGCTGATATTGAAAGTTCTTTTGACATAAATATGATAAACTCATATAGTGTTTTTGGAATTGTTAATATAATTCGATAATAAAATCTGGTACTGTATCAAACAGAAAAAAAAATGTTTCTCCATGAGTGCAAATAATAATTGTGATCAAAATTGGTTTGACAGGGACAATATATAAAAACGATATACTTTGATCATTTAATCATCGGCTAGTCCATCGACTGATTTTTTATTTTTAGTAAGTATTCATTATACTATTGCACTTGAATTTTATTTATCTAAAAGTAGTTTTCCATAGAACAACAGCCGGTTGTGGAGGTAACAAATTCAATCAAGTACATAATAAGCTCATTTTTAAGAAATCTACATGTTGTGGGTATTTAACCTTCATGTATAATCAATTAATTTTACTTTCCCAGGAGAACGATCATTATTGCCCTTACAATGAGAGCCCATTGATTAAGGTACACAAATCCACACATTAGCTCCATGGAATCAAGGTTCAAACTCTACATGTCCAAAATATTTCTAATGTTTCACCAACATCTCACATCTCCATAAATGACCACAATATCCATCAAACAAGGTTACTACATGTTTATCAAATAAATTTAAAAAGAGGTTGTGTTATAAGTATTCCTCTTAACTAATTTTATTCCATCCTCCATTAACATCAATTTAATCAACATTTTACATTTTATTTGAAATCATTTTTTTTCCGTTTTCTTTTTGTTGTTTCTTCTTTTATTTTTTCTTTTATTATTATTATTATTATTATTATTATTATTATTATTATTACAAATTCCGATAACCATATAAAATTCGAACAACATTATAAATTCGGATGACATTATAAAATTTGAACGATTATATAAAATGGAACAAAAGTAAAGTTTGTTTTCAACCCGCATAACACGTCACGCAAATGTAATAATGAACCAATTAATATATCTATGATAAATAAATACTAACTTTGCTTTTGTTTCATTTTATATAGTCGTTCGAATTTTATTATATCGTCCAAATTTATAATGCCGTACGAATTTTAAAATTTCATCAGAATATATAACGTCGTCCGATTTTAAAAACTGGTTTATAAAATATAAAATAAAAAAGAATTAAAAGCCGATTTTATATAGTCGTTCAAATTTATAATGTCATCCGATTTATAAAATGTTGTTCGAAATTTATAATAATAATAATAATAATAATAGTAATAATAATAATAATAATAATAATAATAATAATAATAATAATAATCATAATAATAATAATAATAATAATAATAATAATAATAATAATAAGAAGAAGAAGAAGAAGAAACATCATAAATGGTCCCTGTGGTTTCTCAAAATTTGAAGTTTAGTCTCCGTGATTTAAAAGCGTCATAGATGGTCCCTGTGCTTTCAAAACTTTTAACGATTGGTCCTTATTGCTAAATTCGTTAAGTTTTGTCTGTTAACTGAAGGGTATTTTCGTCATTTCACTACCACAGGGATCATTTATGATGTTTTCACTTATTTAAAAAAAATACAAATAAAATAATATACAAATCTCTCTCTCTCTCTCTCTCTCTCTCTCTCTCTCTCTTAGATGGCAAAAAAAGAAAACCCAACTTCCACTCATAGCAGTAGTCTACTTCCTGTTCGTGTTCTTTACCATTTTCTTTAACGAGCACCGATTTAAAGAAATCCACCGGAAAGAGAATCGGAAAGGATATGAGATTGGTACTCATAATGATGTTACGTAGGAGTTTTTATCCAAAACCATTCTGAATAGCAGTCACCTGAAAGTTTCTCTAGGTCTATAAATCCTAATCCCTGTCACCTGTTTTGATTCGATATCTTCTTACTGTGATTTCAATTTCAACTTCACCTTCATGGGTCACTTTGATTCGAGATTGAGATGCACTTTGTTTCCTGTGCACCTTTCTTCTTATCTGTACAGACTCAAATCGCAACCCTTTCATCCTTATGTTCTCAAATTGGAAATATGTATGTACCTGAGCTTCGACATTTGGGCAATAAGGATTATTTAAAATGAATTTTTCTATCAATTGAGTAGATACAACTCTTGATCCTTCCTTGTCCACTCTAGCTTTCAGACGTTCATTGGGCTGATAGGAACAATACAAAATCAGAGAAAGGGATAAATGTTGTTCTGTTTTTTTTTAAACCGGTAAAAGGAAGAACTCATTCAATGGAGGAAAAGCTAGAGCTTAGCTTACAACAGAACGAAGATTCGGCGTAAGCCCTTGAGGAAATGTTGTTGTGCTGGTTACTGGAAGAGAAGATTCAACCGAGTTCAAGGAATTTTCCACATCATCCGAATAAAAACCTTCATGTGCCAAAGAATTAAGTGCCTTCATCATAGAACGTTCTTCAAGTTTGTTGTATTTAGAAACATCCTTCGCTCCAGGCTGAAGAACTTCTGGATGTTGTGTTTTATCCAATTGATTCTTAAAAGAAAATATGATTTTAAATTGATCTCCAAAGATCTGTTGCCTTTTTAACCAGAATAATTTCTTGCGTAATTCATGCCTTTTAGTTTCTATAACCAGCATTTCCTTGTTGATTTTCATTTCAAATTGTTCTCTTGCCTTTTTATGAACATGAGGTGATTTTAACACAGTGAACAAGGATCATGTCGAAGGCAATCCGATCTTACGTGTGTCAGGTGGAAACATCATAAATGGTCCCTGTGGTAGTAAAATGACGAAAACACCCTTCAGTTAACAGAGAAAACTTAACGTATTTAACAATAACGACCAATCGTCAAAAGTTTTGAAAGCACAGGGACCATCTATGACGTTTTTAAACCTTGAAGACTAAACTTCAGATTTTGAGAAACCACAGGGACCATTTATAATGTTTTTTCTAATAATAATAATAATAATAAATAAATAAATAAATAATTAAAACCGATTTTATATAGCCGTTCGAATTTTATAACGTTGTCCGATTTCTAAAATTTTGTTCGAAATTTATAATAATAATAATAATAATAATAATAATAATAATAATAATAAAAAAAAATTAAAAACAAAAAAAACAAAAACAAAATAGGAAAATAAAAAAACAACAAAAGATAAAAAATCAAATCGAAAAGGGGGGGGGGGGGGGGGGGAGGTGGAATCGGAAAAGGAATGAGATATTTACCCTTTTTAAAAATTGTTTCGTGAGCATAGTTTACTCGACATGCAATTACTATTACGTCTGATTGGTTACGTATAATCATGGTTCTAAAAGTTCGCCTTAAGGCACATGATGGTGCAATGCGTGATGTAGCCGTTCAAATAACGTATCAAGACACACCTTATTGCTTTATGACGTGGCTTTTTTTTTCAAGGCACAAGTTTTTTTGTTTTTGGTTTTTGTTTGTTTTTTTCTGATTGAGTATAAAATAATTGAGTTTTTATTAAATTTTTTATATTAAATATTAATATAACACTTCTAAAAACTTGATATATTTGATAAAATCCAATAGTTATATGATTTATCATTTTTAGTGTATATAAAATAGTCATTGAAAAACGTCATGACTCGCCAAAACTTATCATAACTTAACTTTGATATTGCCGTCAAGTCCATGCCTCACGTTATTTAAAAACTTGACTATAAGGCTTGCAAAAACTATTGCTGATGAGTCACAGTATTAAGGATTATATCCAAATTAATTGATAAATGATATTCGGTTTTTATGTTGTTTCGTTGAAGCATTAAGCCATTAATTAATAACCTGCTTGTTTTGTATGCTAGTTGCTGAAAAACATAGGCGGATCTGATGTATTAAGAGATGAGGGCCTGGGCCTCCAATGGATTTTTCCAAACCAAATTATTCGTATATAAAATTAGTCTACAATTTAAAACTTCAGCAGTGGGCCCTATACATTTTTGTTATTTTTTGTTTGGTAATCATTAAATTAAATTTATATACTGGACACCGTAAATAGCAATAGAGTTTTAATTTTCAACTTTTAATAGCTTTCTTGAAAATTTTAAAATATCTAAGTGATATCAAAAGTTAAGTTTTCACACGATTAACTAAGGTAATTTTATTTTCTAGTTTTATATTTATGGCAATTATTTGAATTATAGGGAAAAAATAAAAAGTTCTTAAAATGTTTATACGTTTTATTTCATGTCAATTGGCTAAGTGGTCAAATATAGTATTAGGGCTAAGCATTTGGGTTGTTATATAATACTAGTTGTGAGACAAATGTATTACATAAGTTAATTTAAAAAATAAATAAATATAAATGTTTAAATATTTAATAACTTTGAATTTATAAGAAAATAAGAAAATTAATGAATTATTAAAATAAAAATGTTGTCTTCCCTTCAATATTATGTAAATTTAAACAAATAATTTTTTTTTGGAAACAACAATACTTTTATCTACTGCACAGAAAGTAACTATGCACGGCAAAACAAAACCAAATTACATAATATTGAAGGGGAGACAACACTAATCAATCCACCTATCATTCCCAAAACGCCCTCTAAACCTGACCCAATTAAAAACTAAAGAGATCACCTCATCTACCAATTTGGCCGGATAAGTACATTTTTTGAAGAACAATTTCTCATTTCTCGCATTCCAAATACACCAAAGGACCCCATAGAAGATGGCGACAAGAATCTTCCATTTTTTGGGCAATTCCCCAAATTAGCCGCAAACTCAATCACCTCCCTTATGGAAGTAAAATCATGAGCAGAAATATTCCACCACCTCAAATTCAACACCAACATATCTTGAGAAAAAAAGCAGCCAGTGAAAATGTGGTCCACCTCGTCAACACCCATGCAACACAATGGACAAGAGGAGTCGTCAATTGAAACACCCCTACACAAGAGGGCTTTCGTTGTGGGGATTCTGCCAATACAAGCCCTCCAAATAAAGCAATTAATCTTTAGAGGAACAAGATACACCCAGATCATGCCATTATTCAACGAAACAATAGAAAAGGAGTCGATAAGCGACTTCAAATCATGAACGAAAAACTTTCCGTCATTAGATAACACTGATTTTCAAGAGTCTTACTTATCGCTAAGTGATAAATGGGATACCGCCATCTTCAAAGCATCAACATCATCAATTTCCTCTCTAGACCTTGGACACCTCTTCCAAGCCCACCCTTCCTGACCAGAAGATCCGATCACAAATCAAAGGCAAGGGGGAACTTGTTGGCCAAAGACCTATCACCTGTCTAGTTGCCGAACCAAAACAACGCAGACCTACCTAAACCAATAACTATTTTGAAAATATGAGAGAGAGGAATGCCAATTCCTTCAATGACAGAAAACAAACCGGTGATATTTTCCCAAACTCCATGAATAATCTTCTTAGATAGAGAGAGCAGCCACAGGTTTCCTATGGAGATTGTGCGTCCTACAGATAACCTTTGCCCACACACAAACTTCATTGATAATCAATAGACCATCTAAGATATTCCTCCCTTCAATGAAAGCAGTCTGAACATCACCAATAACCAACCCGATCACCTTTTTTATTCTAAGAGCAAGAGTTTTCTCCATGATCTTATACACACAGCCGATGAGACTTATCGGCCTATACTCACTTAAAGAAAGAGGATCCTTTACTTTGGGGAGAAGAGTAATAAACGAGGAATTGCTTCCTTTAGAAAGTCTTCCAGACTTCCCAAAATGTTCAACATATCTCATGATATCATCTTGCAACAAGAGCCAGATTAAACAAATAATTTAAATAAATAAACAAAAGAAACTAATGAATTTTAATTTGGAAATTTTGAAATTAGAAAGTAGGTCCATTAATGAAATTGATATTCATTTATTACTACCTTTATTGTAATTATTACATTAATATTATGTGGAATTTAATAAAATTAGAAAAAACCTATAAAATGACAAGTGCAAAAAAATTTATTCAAAATAACCACAAAATGACATTTGAAATTAAATGTGAGTGTGATATGTGGCAAAAAAGTATTCATTTATTAGAGTAAGATTCACCGAAAGCCTATTAATCAATTAAAGTTGCTTGTTATGTGAAATTCAAAAGCAAATGATTATGACCTAATGGACCCGGTTATATAGCCGATTGATTATGGCGTCAACATAGAAAGTTTTTGGATCTGCCAGCACTTAAAAATACCCTATCTTGAAGTTAACCCATTGCTATTTTAGTGAATACTCTGCTACAAATCTTTTTTGTTGGATGAGAAGGTAAACAAACAATTTACGAGAATTAATGTACTTGTAGTCGTTTAAATCTACAAATGACATTTAATGTCTATGCATTTACATTGTAAGATGGGATCAATTATACACTTATAAAACATATGTAGAATAATTCCATATATTTTTAATGTTTTAATATATAAATCACTTCGTTCTTTAGTAGGTGATGATATAATCTCTGTTAGTTTTTTAACCTATTTTATTTAGGTTTGTTAGATCTTTGATGTAACCATTGTAACTCAATACTCATTTCTATATTATATTTATCAATTTGTTCTAAAATATTATTAATGAATTTTACAAACTTTTGAAATAACCAGTTTATGGAAAAACCATAAGAGGTACTACCTTAAACAAAACAAATATTTTAACACACATTGTAAAAAAAATTTAATGTCATTGCTAAACCAACCTTAAGTAATATTCCTTCTGTTCCATATTTATTGTTCATTTTAGACTTTTGAATTCTTTATTTTTTAATTTTGATCTCAAATATTTCTGTTTTTGATATTATAATATTTGATGTAAAATATATGAATGAATTGTGTTTTAAATGTCTTTTCATTGTTGTAAGTTTTATCAAGTAATTTATAACACACAAAAAAAATATTTAAGGTCAAACTTAAAGAATAAAGACTTCAAAAAGTCAAAAGTGGGCAAAATTTGGCACATAAGTAGTATAATATTCGCATAAGTTTGTTCTTCATACTTCAAACTAATATTTTTGTTCCGCCTTTTGAACTCCAACTGCAAAACTTTTGTTAAGTCTACTTTAGTGTTGTGTCAAATATTTGTTTCGGATTTATGTTTTATTTTGATTCCGAAATAGGGTTTGCCCATTTTTAGAATTGAGGTACTGTTTATTCTATATATAGCGTGTGCATGTACCTTCTAGGGCTACGTCTTCCAACACAAAAAGAATAGTTCCATCTTCACGAACTGTTCTATTGTTGATATTAATAGAATTCAACTCTTTTCAATCATCATCGTTCCATATTATTGATTTGTCTCACAATATATAATCTATCGATCTTTTAATATTTCTATCAATTGGTATCAGATCAGGTGATAGTGTAATTCAATCGCTATTCTTCTATTGAGTAAATGGTTTTTTCATTAGGGTTTTTCAGTTTTCTCAGATTTGTTCTTGTTGTCTCAATCATCTCAATCGATTGTAGATCTCATATCTAAATCTCTCGTTTTCCCTTGAACTTGATTCAAGTTTACACATCTGATTCTATATTTTGTTTCATCGAATTCTCGTTAAAATGCCTAACGACGATCTTCACACTCTCTCATTCAATCTCCCAAGTAGCATTGGATCAACAACAAGGATTCCATCATTTTCCTGAAGATTATGAGGTTTGGGATCTTCACTTTGAAGATTATGTGTTGGGTATCGAAACACATGGATATAGTATTTGGCATGTAATGATTGTTGAAACATACAAGTATTCAGATTCGAAGAAAGAAGTCAAAACTCAGGCTGACTATGATGCAATCATTGTTGAACATACTAGCATTCCAAATGATGAGAAGGACAGGATAATATGTAATTTAAAGGTAATGAGAATCATTCGATTTCCTCTTCCTCCTGACACATTCCCTCTCATCCATTCATATGACACTGCAAAAGGAATCTGGGACATACTGAAGGTATTGTATTCAGGTGATGACGACTTGCAACATTCTCTGCAGATGACACTTTTGTCAAAGTTTGGATCTTTTATGCAAAAATCGGAAGGGAATCTAAATCAGACTGTTAATCACTTAAATCACTTGCTGAGCAGAATGATTAAATACAAAATTAAGCAATAAGTTATTGAAGAAAAGTTAACATTCATGAATGATCTCAGATCTAAATGGAAATCTATAGTTTTTATTATTAAGGCACATGAACAGTTCAAAAACTATTCACTGGTGAAACTCGTGGGAATTCTGAAATCTCATGAAGATGAAGTTACTAAAGAAGCGAATATTGTCTCTGGTGTTGGATCTTTGGCGTTGGTTGCTAAAGGTGACAAGCAAGAGAAATCAGTTGTTGATGATTCCGAATATGACATTTCGGATGATGCTCTCTCAAAGGAAGATCAAGTGTTGGTGGTATCTAACCCGAAGAATTTCTTCAAGAAGAACTTCCCTTGTTTCCGAAGCAAGTATAAGAAAGGCAACTCAAACTACGAGAAACCAAGAGAAAGAGATATAAGAATTCTTAGAATGATGATGAGAAAAAAGAGAAGAATTTGCTAGGGGATTCTGGATATGACTACAAATATTGTCATGGCAAGAATCATTTTGCAAAAGAGTACATACTACGTAAGCAGAATGAGAAGAAGGAGAAGGATAAATATGAAGCCTACTACACTTAGAAAATAGAAGAGTTTCAGAAGAAAAATTCATCAAGTGTGAAACCTATGCTAATGGTAAAATAGGACAGTGATGATGGACAAGTTGAAGTGTGGTCCACAAACTCAAAAGATAATGAAGTAAGGAAACCAGCTCATGGTGGGTGTTTTATAGTCAATTCCGAGAAGCATGGTTATGCAGGCAAGTGTTTGATGGTTTAGAGTGGCAGTTTGAAAAGGAAATGATATGCAACTAATGGTGGAAAAGCTTCAGATAGCTGCTTTGCTACGAAGACAATCAAGGAGCAGGTGAGCGAATGTGAGAAGGTTATCGACAAGGTACACTTTATTCTTAAACATCTTAATATAAATACATCACATTATGATTCCGAATTGAATGATTTACGTTATACGATTTTTGATTTTAGTGATAGATTAAAAAGGATTCTATCTGTAATTCTAATATGAATGATAATCTTAATAGGATAACATTTAAGAAAGAGGAGAGACGAATAAGAAGAGAATCCTTGGAGGTTGAGCTTAATAGCTCTAGAGATGATATTATTTTTCTTAAGAGAGATAATAGAGTACTTTTGAAACAATAAAGCATTTTCTGTTTAATTGCTAAACGTTTTTATTTTAATAAAACTCATCTGCATTTAGATTGCGAAATAGGTAAGGGTTTGCATAAGATGATTTTGCATTTTCTTGAATTGAAAGACGATGAAATTGATGCTGAATGTTATAAATGTGAATTAATTGTGTCTTCAGATGATGTTTCTGATTCTTACAGAGTTAGACTTGAGAAAATTGAAGAATATATTAAGTCCAAAGAACATCAAAACATGTTGAAAGATATCTTAACTGAAGAAGATAAACAAGAACTCAAATTGAGTGCTATGTAGAAATATAACTTAATGTGCAAGAAATTGAGTTCGGAAAATACTCTTAATTCTGAGAATATTTCTGAATTTAATGAAAGCAAAATGAGTGAAATATCTGTAGAATTCGAAACTGATTGTTCTAATTTTGTGAAAAATCTTGATGAACCAAATAAAAATTTAGTTTCTGAAAACTCAATCGAATTTGCTAAGATTGTTGAAAATAAGGGTTCAGAAGTTTTGAAAGAAGAAGAAACAGTTTTTCCACCAATTCAGAAAACACCACATCAAGTTTTTGTAAAGAAAGGACTGGATAAAAATAACACTTCTAAATTAACGTCTGTGGTTGCTCTTGATAATGCAAAATATTGTGATGCATTTTTCTAGTCAAAGCCAATAAACAATGCTGATGAAACGAAAGGTCTCTCAAAAATGACCTCTTGGAAATCAAAAGGAAAATATGTTTCAGAACCATTAAATCATGTGGACGTTTTCTATGATGAGGTCGGACCAAGTGGTACAAAAGAAGTTTCAAGTGAAACTTCAGTGGAAAATAATGAAATACCAATTAGAAAGGAAAAACCTAAAGAAAACAATTAGAAATTTGCTAAGGAGTTGATTGCAAAGAAAAGACAAATGAATGCTAGATACAAAAAAAATTGATTAAAAAAAACAATTTTGGAAGGAAATTGGAATGAATCCAGATCAAGGTTTTGTTAATTCATCAAGATCTTCTAATCAAAATAATGATTTGTCTCAAATTTCAAAACCAAAACCTCGTTGTTCACCAAAGTCACAAATTTCAAAACCGATTGCAAAATCAAAAGATTTTGATGTTGAAAACAAAGTTGCTTCGGAATCAGAAATTGCTCTCATAGAATACGAAGCACAGTTGAAAAAGGAAGAAAAAGAGTTCTCGAAAATGATGGCTTCAAAATACAAAGAACGCATTTATAGTAAATCTATTTTTGTTGAAATAATTATTTGTGATAAGAAAAATGAAGTTTTTAAAATGGAAAAAGGGATGATCAATACTTTGATAAGAAAATATGTTGAGCATCAACGTTACCGGTTGATCTAAAACCAATTGTTGTTAGAAAGGGCGCAACCATACCCGTATAGCACATTCAGCCCTCTAGGACGAGGCATTCGATTGCAGCACTCCAGGCCTTCGTGTGAGGACTTGGTTGATGCCATTTCTGACCCCCAACACCCTCCTAGAAATTGCTCCCTAAGA